TTATGCTTTAAAGAAAGTACCTGGACCTGATGCTGGTGGCTCATGCCTGTAATCCTAGCTACTTGGGAGGCTGAGATCAGGAGGATCACAGTTTGAGGTCAGTTCACACCAAAGGTTCATGGGAGCCTATCTCTGTGGAAAATGGCTGGGTGCTGTATGCCTGTTGTTCCAGCAACAGTGGGAAGCATACAGTAGGATCTCAATCCAGGCTGGCCAAGAGCTGGAGGTGACTAAGTGGTAGAGCACTTGCCTTGCAAACACAAAGCTGTGAGTTCAAGCTGCAGTACCAACAAAACAAAAATGCATATCCAGACAATTGGTCATCAAAACCTCAGCATTCAAGTAGTAGCGCACTTGCCGAGCAAGCGTGAGGCCCTGAGTTGACTCCCCAGTACTGCAAAACAGTATGTGCATGGGGGTCGGGGTGGGGGAAAGGGGACCTTAAGCATAAGAACTAAAGGTGTAAAAATTCTTAGGAGAAAATGGGAATATCTTAATGACTTTGCATTTGGCTGTGATTTCTTGGATATGACACCAAAAGCACAGTCCACAAAAGAAAAAAAAAGTAGGTAATTGAACTTCATCAAAATTAAAAACTTTTGTATATCATCAGATACTATCAAGAGAGTTAACAGACAAAACAAAGGAGAGAACACGTTTGCGAATCACGTATCTACCGAAGAATTGACATCTAGACTACATAAAGAGCCACGACTCAAGCCAGGAGCAGTGACTCAAGCCTGCAGTGTCATGACTCAGGAGGCAGAGACGGGAGGATTGCAATTCAAGTGCAGCCTGGCAGAAAGCTTAGAAGACCCTATCTCAGCTAGTGACTGGGTGTGGTCTCACACCCCGGTGGGCGAAGCACAAATAGGAGGACTTCAGTCCATGCTGGCCCAGACAAACAGCCAGCACAGAAAGGGCTTGGGATGTGGTTCAAGTTGCAGGATGCTCACCTGGCAGTGCAAGGCCCTGACTACTGTCCTCCCACCCCGAAAAACCCCCAAAAACAAAAAAACAACTCAACAGAGGAAAAATAGATTTTTAGAGTCACACGTTATATTCAGACAGTAGATAAAGCCTTTGGTGAAGAGCTCTAGTTTTGTGGGAGAGTGAATATGCATAAAGCCTTTCCTGTTCTTTGAAAAACGTCCTGGGGCATGTAGTATTCAGGACATACATTGTCAGTTCTTTGTCTTGAAACTGTCAAGAGAAACTCATGATCCTCTTGCTTCAGCCTCTGCCTGCTGGGATTACACGTGTGCACCGCTATGCCTGGCTTCAGTACAGTCCTGGGTTCTCTTGATGAGAACTATACCTAGCATCAGCTTTAGCAAAAATAATGAATTCATTTAATGAAGAAGCAGTATGGAACAGAAATTTACCACGTATGTCATGGGGCCAGAGTGCCTTGCTTTTGAGTCCTAGCTTCTCTAGCTGATACAACCTTGGGAAAGTTACTCCTCTGAATACTCTGTTCATCTGTAAATAAATGTCACTGCTTTATAGAATTATTGTGTGGCTAAATAAGTTAGTGTATGTAACATTTTTAAAACAGTGCTTGATATATATAGGAAATCTTACTGAAAGAAGACTGCCAGTAATAATTTAAGCTCAACAGCTGGCCACGATCTGATTATTAATGAGAAGTTATACTTGCATGTTGATTTAGGAATGTTTTCTCTCCTTATTCTTGCTGCCACTTTTTAGAAAACCTATTTTTAAAAAAGCAGCTTGGTAGATCCATCTGCTTATTCTTAGTGGCATATCACATACTGTGACTGTACTTCCTTTTTTTTAAGGGAGGAAGGATTTATTTTGGCTCACTATTTCAGAGGTTTTGGTCAATCATGGCAGAGGTGGTGGGAGGAGCAGAGCAGCTCACCATGGCGGCCAGAAAGCAGAGAGAGAGCATGCATGAGGCCAGCAGGCTTTCTTCTCCTTCACCTTCCGTTCCTTCTGGCCCCCAGCCTATGAGATGATGCCACCCTCATTCAAAGAAGGTCTTTCTCCTTCAGTTAATCTGGAAACATCCTCACAGGTACACCCAAGAGGTGTGCGTGCTCATCTCCCAGGCTTGGCTCAGTCAGATCAAGTTGACAATCGAGATGAACCGTCACAGTGAACGTGCCACGTTTCCTTTTCCATTCACCCAGTACAAAGTAGCTGGAAGAGAAGACGCTCCATGTTCTCACCAAAACAGCTAAATGTTTCTGGTGATGGGTGAACTAAGAACTCTGCTCTGACCATTGTGCAGTACTTGCCACACGGCGCTCCCTCACGACGCACAGGTGCCAGTGGAGAGAGGTAAAGCCTTCTCTTTTTCTTTTCCCTCCTTGTACTTTATTGTTTTTACATTTACTTACATGTGTGTACGTTGTTTGTGTCACCTTCCCCTTTCCCCTCCCCACCCCCCAACTGTACTTTCTCATACCTGGAGTCACTCAGCTATTGTGAATGCGATATGGTTCAGGTTCTCTATCCGTTACAGAAAGCAGTAAACAGACACATAGGATTAGAAAACCGGCTTCAAGGTGAAAGAAACCACATCCTATAGTCTCACCTGCTTATGAACCTGTCCTTTTGTCAAGTCAAGAAAGATTGAGAGAAGGACAGGAAGGCAGTTTTCAGGTTTAAAGCAAAATTGCTCCACAAAGAATGGAACATGAAAAGGAGTGACTTAATCAGAACAATTGTAATGCCTCCTATGAGATTTTTCCAAAGAGTAAGACCATCTGCTTTCTTTTCCTGTCCACTTTTTGCACTCTGTGCTTGTCAACCTTATACTTCTTATCTTTTTTGGGGGAGGTCAATAACTGGCGACTGAACTCAGGACTTTGTGTTTGCTAGGCAGGCTCTCTGCCACTGATTATGCTCCGCCCTATCTTGTCAACACACCTTCTCCCCCCCCCGCCCCATACTGGTTGCTCGTGAACTTACAGCTTATGCTTGCACTCTACTGCTGGATTTAATGGTCAGCCCTTTTTGCTCTGGTTATTTTTTGCAGAGAGGGTCTTGCTTTTGCCCACGTGGCCTGGATCACAGCACTGCTGTTTTTATGCTTCTCACCATTGCGAATGACAGCGCATGTCACCCTTTCACCCCTCCAAGCTTTTTTTCTGTTGAAATGGGGCTTGCAACTTTCTTATCCAGGCTGGTTTGAAACACATTCTCCTAATGTCAGGCTCCCAAGTAGCTAGATTCAGGTATGAAGCCACTGGTGCTCACTATATTGTACAGCAGTGTTTTTATCTTTAAGAATCACCTTATATAGCGAAGTGGCATTATAATTACTAAGCCTTCAAGCAGATTAGGACTGCTTTTATTTGCACTTTGCAGATAAAGGTGAAGCACTACCCTTCAGCTATTCCCATTTCCTTCAGGAACTTCTTACAAGTTGGTGAAATGACACTTTACAGTTAGTGATGATCACTTACCTGTCATTAGCTTAACGCTGAGCAAGGAAGTAGCCAGCAGCCCGGTTTCCTCATGGAGTAATGGAGAATTGTCACTTATGTTACTTGTAATTCTTTGCGAAAGAAGCTCTTAATATCTTTCCCAAAAGTCTTAGAGGGTAAAAAATTATGTATTCAATGAACTGCTGTCTGTGTAAAGTCTTTTTTAAAAAATAATTGTTTTCTTATTCATATGTGCATACAATGCTTGGGTCATTTTCCCCGCTTGCTCCCACCTCCTCCTTACCACCACTCGCCCTCCTCTCCCTGCACCCCCCTCGATACCTGGCGGAAAACGTATTTTGCGCCCTTATCTCTAATTTTGTTGACAGAGAGAGTATAAGTAATAGGCAAGGAACGAAGGGGGTTTTTTTTTTTATTATTTTTTTTTATTCTTTTATTATCATATGTGCATACAAGGCTTGGTTCATTTCTCCCCCCTGCCACCCCTCCCTTACACCCACTCCACCCCCTCCCTCTCCCCCCCCAATACCCAGCAGAAACTATTTTGCCCTTATTTCTAATTTTGTTGTAGAGAGAGTATAAGCAATAATAGGAAGGAACAAGGTTTTTGCTGTTGAGATAAGGATAGCTATACAGGGCATTGACTCACATTGATTTCCTGTGCGTGGGTGTTACCTTCTAGGTTAATTCTTTTTGATCTAACCTTTTCTCTAGTACCTGTTCCCTTTTCCTATTGGCCTCAGTTGCTTTAAGGTATCTGCTTTAGTTTCTCTGCGTTAAGGCAACAAATGCTAGCTAGTTTTTTAGGTGTCTTACTATCCTCACCCCTCCCTTGTGTGCTCTCGCTTTTATCATGTGCTCATAGTCCAATCCCCTTGTTGTGTTTGCCTTGATCTAATGTCCACATATGAGGGAGACATACGATTTTTGGTTTTTGGGCCAGGCTAACCTCACTCAGAATGATGTTCTCCATTCCATCCATTTACCAGCGAATGATAACATTTCGTTCTTCTTCATGGCTGCCATAAAATTCCATTGTGTATAGATACCACATTTCTTAATCCATTCGTCAGTGGGGGCATCTTGGCTGTTTCCATAACTTGGCTATTGTGAATAGTGCCGCAATAAACATGGATGTGCAGGTGCCTCTGGAGTAACAGTCTTTTGGGTATATCCCCAAGTGGTATTGCTGGATCAAATGGAGATCGATGTCCAGCTTTTTAAGTAGCCTCCAAATTTTTTCCAGAGTGGTTGTACTAGTCTACATTCCCACCAGCAGTGTAAGAGGGTTCCTTTTTCCCCGCATCCTCGCCAACACCTGTTGTTGGTGGTGTTGCTGATGATGGCTATTCTAACAGGGTGAGGTGGAATCTTAGTGGTTTTAATTTGCATTTCCTTTATTGCTAGAGATGGTGAGCATTTTTTCATGTGTTTTTGGCCATTTGAATTTCTTCTTTTGAGAAAGTTCTGTTTAGTTCACGTGCCCATTTCTTATTGGTTCATTAGTTTTGGGAGAATTTAGTTTTTTAAGAGGAAACAAGGGTTTTTTTGCTTAGTTGAGGTGCATGTGTGTTACCTTTAGGTTAATTCTTTTTGATCTAACCTTTCTCTAGTTCCTGGTCCCCTTTCCTATTGGCCTCAGTTGCTTTTAAGGTATCTGCTTTAGTTTCGCATTGAGGGCAACAAATGTTAGCTAATTTTTAGGTGTTTAACCTACTTCCACCCTCCTTGGTGTGCTCTCACTTTTATTCATTGTGCTCAAAGTCCCAATTTCCTTGTTGTGTTTGCCCTTGATCTAATGTCACATATGAGGGAGGATTTTTGGTTTTGGGCCAGCTAACCTCACTCAGAATGATGTTCTCAATTCCATCCATTTACGCAAAATGATAACATTTATTCTTCTTCATGGCTGCATAAAATTCCATTGTGTATAATACACATTTTCTGATCCATTCGTCAGTATGGCATCTTGGCTGTTTCCATAACTTGCTATTGTGAATAGTGCCGCAATAAACATGGGTGTGCAGGTGCTCTGGAGTAACCTGTGTCACAGTCTTTTGGTATACCCCAAGAGTGTATTGCTGATCAAATGGTAGATCAATGTCTAGCTTTTTAATAGCCTCCAAATTTTTTCCAGAGTGTTGTACTAGTTTTACATTCCCCAACAGTGTAAGAGGGTTCCTTTTTCCCCGCATCCTCCAACACCTGTTGTGGTGTGTTGCTAATGATGGCTATTCTAACAGGGTGAGGTGGAATCTTAGTGTGGTTTTAATTTGCATTTCCTTTATTGCTAGAGATGTGTGAGCATTTTTTCATTGTTTTTTGGCCATTTGAATTTTCTTCTTTTGAGAAAGTTCTGTTTAGTTCACTTGCCCATTTCTTTATTGGTTCATTATTTTGGGGAATTTAGTTTTTTTAAGTTCCCTATATATTCTGGTTATCAGTCCTTTGTCTGATGTGTAGCTGGCAAATATTTTCTCCCACTCTGTGGGTGTTCTCTTCAGTTTAGAGACATTTCTTTTGATGACAGAAGCTTTTTAGTTTTATGAGTCCCATTTATCTATGCTATCTCTTAGTTGCTGTGCTGCTGGGTTCCATTGAGAAAGTTCTTACCTATACCTACTAACTTCAGAGTATTTCCTACTCTTTCCTGTATCAACTTTAGAGTTTGGGTCTGATATTAAGATCCTTGATCCATTTTGAGTTAATATTGGTATAGGTGATATACATGGATCTAGTTTCAGTTTTTTGCAGACTGCTAACCAGTTTTCCCAGCAGTTTTTGTTGAAGAGGCTGCTATTTTTCTCATCGTATATTTTTAGCTCCTTTGTCAAAGACAGTTGGTTATAGTTGTGTGGCTTCATATCTGGGTTCCTCTATTCTGTTCCACTGGTCTTCATGTCTGTTTTTGTGCCAGTACCATGCTGTTTTTATTGTTATTGCTTTGTAATATAGTTTGAAGTCAGGTATGTGATACTCCAGCATTTCTTTGACTGAGTATTGCCTTGGCTATTCGTGGCCTCTTGTGTTTCCATATAAATTTAAGTAGATTTTTCAATCTCTTTAATGAATGTCATTGAATTTTGATGGGAATTGCATTAAACATGTAGATTACTTTGGGAGTATAGACATTTTACTATGTTGATTCTACCAATCCTGAGCATGGGAGATCTCTCCACTTTCTATAGTCTTCCTCAATCTCTTTCTTCAGAAGTGTATAGTTTTCCTTGTAGAGGTCTTTCACATCTTTTGTTAGGTTTACTAGGTATTTGATTTTTTTGAGGCTATTGTAAATGGAATTGTTTTCATATATTCTTTTTCAGTTTGCTCATTGTTAGTGTATAGAAATGCTAATGATTTTTCTATGTTGATTTTATATCCTGCTACCTTGCTTAGCTATTGATGATGTCTAAGCTTCTGAGTAGTTTTTGGGTCTTTAAGGTATAGGATCATGTCGTCTGCAAATAGGATATTTTTGACAGTTTCTTTACCTATTTGTATTCCTTTATTCCTTCTTCTTGCCTAATGTGCTCTGGCTAGGAATTCCAGTACTATGTTGAATAGGAGTGGAGATAGTGGGCATCCTTGTCTATTCCTGATTTTTAGAGGGAATGGTTTTAAGTTTTTCTCCCGAAGTATAATGCTGGCTGTAGGTTTGTCATATATAGCTTTTATAATGTTGAGGAACTTTCCTTCTATTCCTAGTTTTCTTAGAGCTTTTATCATGAAATGGTTTGTTGGATCTTATCAAAGGCTTTTTCTGCATCTATTGAGATATGAAGTGGTTTTTTGTCTTGCTTCTGTTAATGTGGTTTATTATTTATTGATTTTCATATGTTGAACCACCCTGCATCCCTGGGATGAAGCCACTGGTCATGTGAATAATCT